AAGTAATTAATTAATATTTTAGAATGATTTTTAATGAGAAAATATTTGCTAGAGTAACTTTTATATTCAAAACAGAGTGTAAAATTGTTGATATGCAGTAGGTGAATAAAATAAATTATTGAATAAACAGCCAGTAAAGAATATTTTTAGGATTTTTTACGAAAGAATTTCTAAATAAAATAATAGAGAGTATCATCTTTTGAATATTTTTTTAAAAGAATACTATTCAATTTATTTAGTATTAACAAAAAGAAGTAATAGTTTTGAAGCTATTGACAATGTTTAAAGATTTATAAAAAATTCTAAAAGGATGTAAAATAAATATTTTGGTTTTTAAATACCAGATTGAGAAATAAATGCTTTTTTATTTGAATTTAGTGGGTATTAATTAATTTATTTGATATTTTATTATTTAATTATGTGCGTTTAAAAAATAGATAGTAATTAATTGATTTCAAGATGGTGAATAAAATTATGATTTTAAATAGCATGTAAATATCCTTTTATACTCAAAATAAAAAGAAGCTATTAAAATTATAAAAAGCATGTAAATTTTAGCAGAAATTATCATAAAAGTAGATGAATGTATTGTGATAAAAAATTAAATTAGGAAGTAAATTTTAAACAATTTTATTAGAAAATAAGAAAGAAATTCGATGTTATTAGGGAAGATTGGTAAATAGATTTGAATATACTTAAGAAAACATAAGAATAATCTAAAAAATTCATAAGGAAGTAATATTCTTAAGTACTCTTTTAGAAATTTATAAATAAAATTTAACTTTAAAAATAGCGAGTAATATTTTTAAGGAGTGATGGCGATTTTTTAAAAAAATTAAATTAAATAGAGAGGAGTAAATTATTATTTAAAATAAATAAGTGAATATGAATTATTTAATCAATATTGGTAAAAAATTAGAATGTAACTAATTTAAATTATTTTAGAAAACTAATGCTTAAATTCAATAAATAAATAAATGAATAATCAAATAGGATGTAAATGTTATTAAATATATCAGATTTAAAATATTTATTAAATTTAATATGAATAGGACGTACTAAAGATTCATTTTATACTAAAATGAAATAGAAATTAATTAATTTAATTTATGAATCAGATTGTAAGATTTAAATTTTCGATGTAAACAATTACCAAGCTATATCTTCAATAAAATAGATAGTAAGGCTTTCATTATCTTTTTTTATTCTTTATTAATTTATTTTTTTAAACAGTGAGTAGCATTTTTACATCATTTTACTATAGAAGATGACGAAATATTTTAAAAAGGGAGTAAATCTTTAGTGCAGTGAGTGTCATTCTTAAATTCTAAATTATCTTATTTTTTTAGAGAGTATAATATTTACATTATATTTTATTAGAAAACCCTAAAATATATTTAACTTTTAATTAAGCGATTGGTAATTTTAATTTTAGCTTTTTAAAAGTTTAATAAAAAATATTTAAATAGGAAGAAGTAAGGATCTATTATATACTTGGCTTGAGCTATCTTTTGTTTTATTAAAAAAAATTAATAGGCAGTAATTTTTTGAACTAATTTTTGAACAAGATGGTTAATTAATTAAAACTAAAAATATAGAATGTTAAAAGTTTATTGAATTATCATTAGAAAATTCAAATTAAATTTTAAAATAGTGGGTAACCTTATTACTAAAGTGTTTCTAAACAAATTTGTTTTCATTTTACATTTAAAAAAGCAAGTACAAATATTTAGTTATTCCATCTAACTTTGGAAACTCTTACTTAACTTTTAAATTTATAAAGAGTGTAAATTTGTAAATTGATTACATTCTAAATAGTTAAATCTCTCTATTAATCCAAATAGCAAGTAATATTCAGGCCATACCTTTAAACTATAAATAAAATTTTATATTTCAAATAGACTGTAAAAAATTATTTACTTTTGATTAAATAATACTTATTTAAATTTATTACATTAATTAGTGGGTAATTTTGAACATCTTTAGGAGACATTCTTTGATAATTTTTTATATCACTTAAAGAAAGTTATATTCAATTATTTTTATCAACATAAGATGTTTTATGAACTTTTATATTCAAAATAGCTTGTAATTAATATTTGAAATTATTTTTGATGAGAAAATAAATAAATAAATAAAATGATGATTTAACTTTCATAATCAAATTAGTCGGTAATTAATATTTTAGAATGATTTTTAATGAGAAAATAATGCTGAATAAACTTTAATCTTTAAATTAGACTGTAATTAATATTTTAAATTGATTTTGATGAGAAAATAAATGCTGAATTAACTCTAATGTTCAAAATAGTTCGTAATTAATATTTTAGCAAGAATATTAATTCGAAAATAACACTGATTTAACTTTAATATTCAAAATAGGTTGTAACAAATATCTTAGAATGATTTTTGATGAGACAATAAAAACTGAATTAAATTTAATATTCATATAGACTGTAATTAACATTTTAGAATGATTTTTGGCGAGAATAAAAATGCTGAATTAATTTTCATATAAAAATAGACTGTAATTATAATATTTCAAAATGAATTTTGATGATAAAACAAATGCTAAATTTACTTTTACTTTCAAAAATTAGTGAGTAATTAATATTTTAGAATGATTTTTGATGAGAAAATAAATGTTGAATTAACTTTCATATTCAAAATAGTTCGTAATTAATATATTAGAATGAAAATAGATGCTTAATTAACTTTCATATATAAAATAGATAGTAATTAACATTATAGAATGATTTTTGATGAGTAAACAAATGGTGAATTATTTTCATATTCAAAATAGCTAGTAACTAATATTTTTAAAGAGAAAATAAATGATGAAAAAAATAAAAATTGAAAATAGTGAGTAAAATCGGCGAATTTTTTTAATTCAAAATTAAATAATTTTATGAAAAATAAATAGGTGGTAATAATCAGTAGAAGATAAATAAAAGAGATGGAATATAAGTTTTTATTAAATAAAACAGCTAGTAAAATTTTATTATATTAATTTGGATGATTTATCTAAGTTAATATTTAAAAAAATAGATAGTAATAGTTTTTAAAGCTTTTAAAGAGGAAATAAAAATAAATTCTAAAATCTAAAATAGTGAGTAAGAATTTAGTATCAATCAATTAAAAAAAAATAATTAATTTAAACTCTAAATTAGATTGTAAAATACCTGATTGATTTAAAAAGAAAAAGATAGAAAAAATAAAATAGGAAGTAATATTGTTGAATAGCTTAAATTGAAATAAGATCAATCAATTTAAATATCAAAAATAGTTGGTAATAAATTTACTAAGAATCAACATTAATTAATATCTTCCACTTAATTAGACAGTAAAATATTTGAAATCATTTTTATTTTCTCTCTAAGCATTTGAATAAATAAGGGTAAATTTTTTATAAAATATTTGAAGCAGAAGAGTAAGTAAGATATAATTAAAATAATTAAGATTAAGATGATATTAAATATATATTTTATTTATCCAAAAATATTTTATAACTTACTTTTGTTTTTAAAAGAGCCAGGTTACACACAATATTTGTTAGAATCAGGGAAAAGAATTCAAGAAATCAGGGATAGATAGATGCTCTTTTTTATTTGTTTGTTATCAAGAAATTAATAACCTAAATTTTATTTAAATATTAAATATAATATGATTTTGTGATATTATTTTTTATGTTTGATATATTGTAGTTTTAATTAAATTTTTAAACTTTTTTTTTTAAACGTAAAAATAAAAAATAAAAAAAATGTAAAAAGCTGATGCTTTAAAAGTGAAATATAATCTGTATGTTAATATTTATTTAAAGTAAGAAATTTTATCCTTTTTATTTTTTTAATAATAAAATGAATGAAATCTAAGATTTGTCATTTTACTTATTGTTTTGTAAATTACTTTCTTGCTTTGTATTAGTTAATATGATATATTATATCATCATATGTTATGATGATTCGAAAAATCATTAAAAAATAGGAAAATATAAATTTTATTAATATAATGATATAAGATACTATATATAATGTTAATAATTTCATTTACACTTGTTTTAACAAAAAATAAACATTTAAAAAGCTAAGAAATATTATTTATTAGAATATAATTAAATAAATATTTCTTACAAAACAAATAATTATTCATAGCTATATATACTTTCAAAATTTAGAAAGAGTTAGGTGTGGGTGATATTACTTTTTATTACATATTCAGTATTCTTCTGAATATGTTTTTCTAATGTTATAAAAGTAAACAATTAAGATCTCATTTTTAGTCTTTAAATATTTTATACTCATGTTAAAAACAAAAAATTAATACTTAAATTATTTTTTAAATTTAAAACAATTTAGTAGTTTCTTTTTAGCTATATATAAAATATGTTATTTTCGAATATTGAAATTAAACGATAATTGACTTTGATCACACTGATTTAAACTACAAATTAATTAAACTAAGCTAAATTTTATTATTGATATATTTTTCTTCTTCTAAATAATACATCAATAAATTTCCAATTTTCTTCAGAATTTATTTTTTATATTTTTTTACCATAAAAAATAAAGATAGATCTCTTAATTCTATCTATTATTAAAAATAGTTTATATTAAAACTTTAGAATAAAAAATTAATTTTAAAATATTCTATTTTTATATTTTATACTATCTAAATATTTTAATTTTTTTATTTATTTCTTGTTTGATTAATTTTAAGTACTCTTTAATATATAGTTAATAAAAAGGGAAGAACTAATTAAATTAAATCACTAATCATATTTAGATTTATAAAATATTAATGGACATCAGAAAAATACTGACATTCAATTCTACCCACCACTATTATTTGATAATTAATTAATAAATTTATATCTTTTCAAAAATTTAATATTTAGGGATTAATTTATTAGAAAAAATTTTTTGTTTTTGCTACAAAAAATTAGTCAGAAATTAACTTTTCTGAAAATCTTGCTACAAATAAATATCTGATTTTTAAAAATCAATTAATAATAATTAATTAAAAGAAAAAATTTATTCAAAACTAGGAAAATGAGAAAATTAGTTAAGCTGTTTAAAAATTGCTAGATAACCTAAAAAGCTTTTTGCTAGATAACCTAAAAAGCTTTTATGTTTCATTCACTGAATATGAATTAAAGGTATTTCTTTTCACAACCTAGCTCAAATACAAATTCTTTCAATCAGAATATTGAAGTAGATTACAAAATATCTTAAGATGAGAGAAAAACAGTTGATCTTAATCTGCTATCAAGAAATTTAGACCTATAAAATTTATCTTAAGAGAGTGCTAAATAAAAATACTTGATTCATATATAAAAATATCCAAGAACAACAGAAATTCATATGCTTTACGGATTAATATTTTAGTCAATGAAAATGATTGAAGATGCTAAAAATTGCTTTTAAGAGGCTATAAAAATTGATTCCAATAGCACTTTAGCTTATTAATGTTTAGCAGATATTTATGAAGATAGCTGGAATTTTTCAGAAGCTGAAAAGCATTTACTGAAAGCTTTAGAAATTAGCTCAAATTAAATTCATTTAAATTATAGGTTAGGAGTTCTTTATTAAAAAACTGGGTAGCTTGAAAAATCTAAGACATTCTTTCTTATTTATGAAGGCCAAGAGAAAGCTTTAAAAATGAAAAGTTAAGACTAATAATCTAAGATTTAGTTAGGATAATTTTACAAAAAGATAGGAAAAATTGAAGAGGCTGCTTAGTTTTTCTAAAAGGCAGATGAGATTCAACCTTTTTAAGATAGTGAACTAAATTACAATATAGGTTTACTCTTTTATTAAACCAAATAATTTCAAGAGTCAATAAAGTGTCTACTGAAATATAAAGAAAAATATCCATAACATTTTAATACCAACTATGTTCTGGGGTAAGCTTACTTACAACTAAAGTAATTAAAAGAGTCTGAAATTTGCTTTCTTTAGGCTCTCGAAATTTAACCATAATCAGCAGACGTGTGCTTTTCTCTAGGATTGATTTATTTTAATTTAAAGATGAATGAAAAAGCTTAAAAATATTTTTTAAAAGTTTAAAAAACTGATCCTAAAGATTTAGATTCAGCTTTTTATTTAGGGTGTTTGTATTAAAGCGATAATAAATAAGAAGACGCAATTTATTGTTTCTAAAAGGTTTTAGAAATTATTCCTTAATGCTTCGAAGCTAATTTTTAATTAGGATTTTCTTTAGAGTTAATTGGAAAAGTAGAAGTGGCTAAAGAGTATTTCTAAAAGGCTTTTGAAATCAAACCGTAATCAGTAGAAGCATATGTCTAATTAGGAATTTTTTACTTGAAGTTTGGTAGGAAAGATGAAGCCTAATAGTGTTTCATAATGGGTTTTAACAATAATCCTAAAGAATTTGAGTCATTGATTTCAGAAAATGTTGATTCTTAATTATTCACAAATTTAAAAGTCCAAAAAGATTTAGATCAAGTAAATGAAAAAAATTTTTATTCTAGCCTCTATCTAGGATATGTTTATGAATTAATTGGAAGGTTAGAAGATGCCAAAAAACATTACTTTAAAGTTCTAGAATTGTAGCCAAATTTATTGAATGTGAACTTGTAATTAGGAATACTTTACATGAATGAAAAAAATGAAAAAGAAGCTGAATCGTTTTTAAAAAAGGCTTATAATATTGATCCTAACAATTTTGATACTAATACACAATTAGGGTTATTTTATTTATAAAATAATAGAGAAAATGAGTCTAATTAGTATATTTAGAAAGCCTATGAAATCGATCCTGATAATTATTTAATTAATTATTAATTAGGAATTTAATATAATGAAAAAGGAAATTATGAAATTGCAAAAAAATATTCCTAAAAGGCTTTAGAAATTAAACCATAATGTGAAAAGGCATATATACTATTAGGAGATATCTATTTGAATTAAAATATGAAAAAAGAAGCTGAATTTTATTTGATGAAAGCTTATTAAATTAATCCTAACAGCTTGGAGTGTAATATTCTACTTGGAAGATATTATTTCACGATTTAAAAATATGAAGATTCAATAAAACAATACCTAATAGCATCAAAAATAAACCCTTCAAATTTTGAAATTAATTTTTTTTTAGGAATTTTATATTTAGATGTGGAAAATCTAGAAAAGGCAGAATAATACTTATTGAAAGCTTCATAAGCATAGGGTCAAGAATAAAATATATATCTTTTTTTAGGATCTATCTTTTTAAAACATAATAAAATGAAATAAGCAGAATATTATTTTTTAAAAACTATTGAGTCTGATCCTACAAATTTTTAATATTTATTTTAAATTGGAGATTAATACTGTAATTTTGAAAAATTTGAAGAAGCTAGATTTTATTATCAGAAGGCTTTAAATTTAAAACCATCATCAGAAGAAATAATTTTAAAATTAATAAGTGTTTACAAAATGTGCAGCAGTACTTAAGAGATTTAGCAGTTTCTTTTTGAATTCTTAGAAAAAAACCCAGAAAATTAATATGCATTTACTTTAATAGGAGGTTATTATGAAAATATAGGAAAATTTACAGAAGCTAAGTAATACTACTTGTAAGCTCTATAGATCAATCCTGATAACTTTATTACGATTTGCCACTTGATTTAGAATTATATTACTACTGGAGAAATAGAAAATGCAAAATCTTATTTTGAGAAACTTTTAAAATTAAAGATAAGTAAAGATGAAGAATATATTAGTATTGGTACATTTTAAGTATAATTTTAAATGATAGAAGAATCTATTTAAAGTTTCTTGAAAGCTTTAGAAATAAATCCTTAAAATAGCTAAGCTCACTATAAATTAGCAAAATCTTACATGTAAATTGGAAGAAATGAAGAGGCAAAAAAAAGCTACTTCAAGGCTTTTAAAATGTATCCTGAATCTGAATAAGCTTTACAAGATGTTGGTGACAATAGCAATAATAATATACCAGTTGAAGCCTAAAAATATTTTAAAAAGGTTTTATCAATGAATAATCCTCGAGAATTAAATTGTGATATTAAATTAGCATATATTTATTTGGAATTGAATTAATTAGAAGATGCAAAATCATATTTCCAGCAGGCTTTAAAAATTGATCCTAAGCTTATAACTGAAATCTTGTAGGATAAAGAAGCCAAAAATTTCTTTGAAAAACTATTATGAAACTCATTACTAATTAAATTTAGCTTTCATTTAATTTTTTAATACTAAAATATACATTTCATATTTTTTCTCCGTTTTATATTTGTATTATATAAAAATGATTTTTTTTTGTTAAATTAAATTCTAAAAAAATAACTAATTTAATCATTTAACTTTTTTATTTGTAATAAATAAATTTTCTAATTTTTTTGGAACATCATTTATTTCATTTATAATTTTTTCCTTTAGTGTTATATTTTTAAAAAACCTAATGAAAATATTTTCATTTTTAAGCTCAAAAAGATAATTTATTTGCTTTATAAAATGGAATAATAATGAAAAAACACAATTGAATAATTTTTTTTCGAATTTAAATAAAATGAATAAAATATTAATTTATTTTTAAATTAATTTTAAAGAATTATCAAGAATAATTACATGATAAAGTAAAATAAAATAAGCAATCATAAAATAAATTAAACTTATAAATAAATCAAATTTGTGTAAAACTGTCTCAATAAGATCAAAAGCTGAAGACATAAAAAATGTAGAAATTATCTCATTAATAATTCCTTGTTTTGATTTCATGCAAATTTATGAATAAGGTATCGTTAATTATATTTCTAGTATTTTTCAATTTAATTATTTAAACAAAGATACTCTGATCCACTAGATAGATATTAGAGATGATATATTAAATAAATTAAGTTAACAAATTTATGAATCTAGTGATGAATTTGGATTTATTTACTTTCAAAGCTAAAATTAAATATCTTAAATTAATAATATCAAATTTTATATGATTTTAATATTTATTAGAGTTTTTAGAAATATATCAGGAAAATAATTTTGTGTATTTAGCATAAATAGGAAAAGTGCCTTTTAGCTATAATTTTTTTTGGAATTAATTTTTTTTGTTCTTTTTATTCCTTTTTTTTTGTATTTTTTTATTCGTTTTTTACTTGTATTTTTTTTTATTTTTAAAAATAATTTTATAAAGAATACTGTAAAATAAAATAAAATTCAATTATTAAATATTATTTTTGTGAAAAAACATATAATGTTTCAAAATTTTAGACTCTGTTCTCGGATCGGATCTACGAGGGATATTTTTATCAAGAAATTACAATAATAGTTAGTTATTAGATTATTTTTCAAATCAAATTTTCCTTCTCATAATCTTTTGATAGAATATATAATTGCTACATATGCTATAACTAATAACTGCATATATTATTATATAAAATTTTTATGATATAAATAGATGAGAATTTATTTTTGAGTAAATAAGATAATACGAAAAGTATTTAAAGCAGTAAAAAGTTAATAGTTTAGATTTTGAAGACATTTTATCAGTTAAATAGATAAATTATTTAGAGTTAGTTTCTTACATAGAGTCAGTTTAAGGCAGAAAAACGTGTTATATTTTGTATATTTCTTAAGTAAGTTATTTGATTCTTAACATTCAAATAATCTATTTAGTTACATGTAGTGGTGTTTTATTAAAAATAAATTTTATTTATTGATAAATTTTTAAAGAAAAAGAAAAACTTTTGGGTTTGATTTTTTACTATTTACTGCTGTGAGGAACAGCTGCTTTTTAAAAATAATTCTTTATTTGATCTAACTTCTGGTTATTTTTAATAGGAATTTAATTCTTTCTGAGAATAAAAATGGTTAAAGAATATTGCTTCTAATATTCGTTAATTCTATTATCTATATTTTAAATTTCAAGATTAAAATTATACTTTTGCTTTGCTATTATATTTTATAATCCCAAATTAGATTAGATTCCTAATATAATTTGCAGATATGTTATTATTATAAATAAAAATGGTAAATTTAATTCAGGATATAAAAATTTAGGATTTAAAAGTTAAATGTATTTGTGAATATTTATTTAAAGTTAGAAATTTTGTCCTTTTTGCTTTTTTGCTGTTTAAATGATGAAATAAATGAGGACTAAGATTTTTCATTTTACTAGTTGTTTTGTAAGTTGCTTTTTTTCTTTGTATTAGTTAACATGATATATGATATCATCTTATGTTGACTAATGATTCGAAAGATGATTGAAAAACAGTCAATTATAAATTTTATTGATATTATGATCTAAGATGCTATATATAATATTAATAATTTCTGTAAATAAAATTTTACTTGTTTATTCTAATTGCAAATTAATTAATTTACACCAGTTTTAACAAAAATAAACATTTAAAAAACTAAGAAATATTATTAATAGGAATATAATCAAATAAATAATATTTCTTACAAGCTAAATAATTATTTGAGTGAGAATAGCTATATATACTTTCAATTTTAAAAGTGAAAAATTAGGTGTGGATGTTACTTTTTATAACATATTCAGTATTCTTTTCAATATTTATTTTTTTATAATATTATAACAAACAGTAAATAATTAAGATCTCATTTTTAGTATTTAAATATTTTATACTAAGATAGGTACTAAATAAAATAAAAAAATTAATGCTAAAGTGTTAGTTTTTATATTTATACAATTTAGAGGTTTCTTTTTAGCTATATATAAATCTGTTCTTTTCAAATATTTAAATTAAAAGATAATTGACTTTGATCACACTGATTTAAACTACAAATTAATTAAATTAAGCTAAATTTTATTATAGATTTGTTTTTCTTCTTCTTAAAAACCAATCAATCTAGCAATAAATTTCCAATTTTCTTCAGAATTTATATTTTATATTTTTTTACCATAAAAAATAAAGATAGATCTCTTAATTCTATCTATTATTAAAAATAGTTTATATTTAAACTTTAGAATAAAAAATTAATTTTAAAATATTCTATTTTTATATTTTATACTATCTAAATATTTTAACTTTGTTATTTATTTCTTGTTTGATTAATTTGAAGTACGCTTTAATATATAAATAATAAAAAGGGAAGAAAGAATCGAATTAAATCACTAATCATATTTAGATTTATAAAATATTAATGGACATCAGAAAAATACTGACATTCAATTCTACCCATCGTCATTATTTGATAATTAATCAATCAATTTTAATACTTTTCAAAAATTGAATTTTGAGGGATTTATTTATTAGAAAAAATTTTTTGTTTTTGCTACAAAAAATTAGTCAGAAATTAACTTTTCTGAAAATCTTGCTACAAATAAATATCTGATTTTTAAAAATCAATTAATAATAATTAATTAAAAGAAAAAATTTATTCAAAAAAACTAGGAAAATGAGAAAATTAGTTAAGCTGTTTAAAAATTGCTAGATGACCTAAAAACCTTTTATGTTTCATTCACTGTATATGAATTAAAGGTATTTCTTTTCGCAACCTAGCTCAAATACAAATTCTTTCAATCAGACTATTGTAGTAGATTACAAAATATCTTAAGAAGGTTAAGAAGGGAGAAAAAATATTGATCTTAATCTGTTATCAAGAAATTTAAAGCTATAAAATTTATCCTAAGAGAGTGTTAAATAATAATACTTGATCAATATATAAAAATAACCAAGAAAAGCTGAAATTCATATTATTTATGGATTAATATTTTAGTCAATGAAAATCATTGAAGATGCTAAAAATTGCTTTTAAGAGGCAATCAAAATTGATCCAAATAGCATTTTAGCTCATTAATTTTTAGCAGATATTTATGAAGATAGCGGGAATTTTTTAGAAGCTGAAAAGCATTTACTGAAAGCTTTAGAAATTAACTCAAATTAAATGCATTTAAATTATAGGTTAGGAGTTCTTTATTAAAAAACTGGATAGCTTGAAAAGTCTAAGAAATTCTTTCTTATTTGTGAAGGCCATGAGAAAGCTTTAAAAATGAAAAGTTAAGACTAATAATCTTGTATTTAGTTAGGAAAATTCTACAAAAAGATAGGAAAAATTAAAGAGGCTGCTTAGTTTTTCTAAAAGGCAGATGAAATTCAACCTTTTTAAGATAGTGAACTAAATTATAATCTAGGTTTACTCTTTTGTTAAGCAAAATAATTTCAAGAGTCAATAAAATATCTACTGAAATATAAAGAAAAATATCCATAACACTTTAACACCAACTATGTTCTTGGGGAAGCTTACTTACAACTAAAGTAATTAAAAGAATCTGAAATTTGCTTTCTTTAGGCTCTCGAAATTGAACCATAATCAGCAGACGTGTGCTTTTCTCTAGGATTGATTTATTATAATTTAAAGAAGAAAGAAAAAGCTTATAAATATTTTTTAAAAGTTTAAAAAATTAATCCTAAAGATTTAGATTCAGCTTTTTATTTAGGGTGTTTGTATTAAGGTGATAATAAATAAGAAGACGCAATTTGTTGTTTCTAAAAGGTTTTAGAAATTATTCCTTAATGCTTCGAAGCTAATTTTTACTTAGGATTTTCTTTAGACTTAGTTGGAAAAGTAGAAGAGGCTAAAGAGTAATTCTAAAAGGCTTTTGTAATCAAACCGTAATCAGTAAAAGAATATGCCTAATTAGGAAATTTTTACTTGTAGTTTGGTAGGAAATATGAAGCCTAAAAGTGTTTCATAAAGGGTTTTAACAATAATCCTATAGAATTTGAGTCGTTTATTTCATAAAATGTTGATAGTTAATTATTCACAAATTTAAAAGTCCAAAAAGATTTAGATAAAATAAATGAAAAAAACTTTTATTCTAGCCTCTACCTAGGATCTGTTTATGAATTAATTGGAAGGTCAGAAGATGCCAAAAAACATTACTTTAAAGTTCTAGAATTGTAGCCAAATTTATTGTATGTGAACTTGTAATTAGGAATACTTTATATGAATGAAAAAAATGAAAAAGAATCTGAATCGTTTTTAAAAAAGGCTTATAATATTGATCCTAACAATTTTGATACTAATATAAATTTAGGATTATTTTATTTATATATTGAAAGATAAAATGAGGGAAATGATGAAATTGCAAAAAAATATTTCTAAAAGGCTTTAGAAATAGAACCATTATCTGAAGATGGATTTATTTATTTAGGAATTATCTATTTGAATTAAAATATGCTAAAAGAAGCTGAATTTTATTTAACGAAAGCTTATTAAATAAATCCTAATAGCTTTAAGTGTAATTCTCAACTTGGAAAATATTATTTTGCAATTTAAAAACTTGAAGAATCAATAAAATATTACCTAGTTGCTTAAAAAATAAAACCTTCAGATTATGAAATTAATTTTAATTTAGGAATTTTATATTTAAAAATGGAAAATCTAGAAAATGCAGAATAATATTTCCTGAAAGTTTTACAAGCATAGGTTCAAGAATAAAATGTATTTTTTTATTTAGGATAAGTCTATTTAAACCAAAATAAAATGAAATAAGCAGAATATAATTTTCTAAAGGCTGTTGAATTTGATCCTTAAGAATTTTAATGGCCAAAATTTATAGGAGATTTATATTTAAGCTTTAAAAAATTTGAAGAAGCTAGATTTTATTATCAGAAGGCTTTAAATTTAAAACCATCATCAGAAGAAAGTTTGTTAAAATTAATACATATTTACTATAAGTGCAACATTTCTTAAGAGATTTAGCCATTTCTTATTGAATTCTTAGAAAAAAACCCAGAAAATTTATAAGCAATTATTTTACTAGGAGGTCATTTTGATGATATTGGAAAATTTACAGAAGCTTAGTAATACTACTTATAAGCTCTATAGATCAATCCTGATAGCTTTAAAGCGATTTGCCACTTGATTTAGAGTTATATAAGAACTGGAGAAATAGAAAATGCAAAATATTATTTTGAGAAACTTTTAAAATTAAAGATAAGTAAAGATGAAGAATAATATATAAATATTGGAATTTTATAAGTATAATTTCAATAAATAGAAGAATCTATTTAAAGTTTCTTAAAAGCTTTAGAAATAAATCCTTAAAATAGCTAAACTCATTATAAATTAGCAGATTGTTACGAGAAAATTGGAAGGAATGAAGATTCAAAAAAATACTACTTAAAGGCTATAGAAATTAACCCTGAATTTGAAGAAGCTTTATATCAACTTGGGGATTACTATTTCAAAAACTGTAAGCCAGTTGAAGCCTAAAAATATTATCAAAAGGTTTTATCAATAAATCCTCAATAATTAAATTGCCATATTAAATTAGCTTATATTTTTTAGAAATTCAATTAATTCGAAGATGCTAAATACCATTTCCATAAAGTTTTAAAAATTGATCCTAATTTTTTGAGCTAGTTGCAGGATGAAGAAGCCAAAACTTTCTATGAAAAACTATTATGAAATTCATTAATAATTAAATTTCAACTTTAATTTAATTTTTTAATGTTAAAATATATATTTCATAATTAATTGTTCAACTTTTTCATTTGTATTTTGTAAAAAAAATTTTTTTTTTTGTTGATAAAATAAATTAAATTCATAAATAAATAACTAATTTAATCATTTTAATGTTTGTTTTTAATAGAATTTTATAATTTTAAATTCAAAAAAATTTGTTTACTTTTTATATATTTTAGGACACCATTTATTTTGTTGATAATGTTTTGTCTTTAATAATTTTTTTTATAAACATCATAAAAAAATCGTTTATTGTTTTAAGCTCAACCAACAAAATAGTTTGCTTTATTGAAGGGAATAATTAATGAAAAAATACAATTTGAATATCTTATTTTTTTCGACTTTAAATTTAATTAAATAGATGAAATATCAATTTATTTTTAAATAAATTGAAAACAATTGTCAAAAATAATTACATGGTAAAGTAAAATAAAATAAACAATCATGAAATATTTGAAACTTATAATTAAATGAAATATAAAATATTTTATGATTGATTAATATGTTATTATTAGAGATTATTAATTAGTAAGGAAGGATGAAAAAGTAAATATTTAATTGTTGATTATATTTTTATGTTTTAGTTGTAAATTTTTTGTTAGTAGTTGATTATAGTTAATTTTTTAACTAACTATAATTTATTAGAATTTTTTCATTCAAATTTTTTATTAAGGATTTTTTAAAAGAAATCAATAGGTTTAGCAGAGCTAGGTCTTAGCTTGACTTAGCTATTAAAATGTTAATTCTAAGATAAATTGTTGCTTTTGTTATTTATTGATGATAATGGCCTTTTTGTTTTAATGAATTCAGATGAGGGATTGTGATTATTAATATTTTTTAAAGGGCTATTCAGTTTAGATGTTGAAATAGTTTGATTTATTGAGTTATTTAAGTGAGAAACTTCGTTTTTCTTCAACTGCATAGAAGGAGAGCGGAATACTTTTATAATAAAAAATGTTAAAATTGAAATAATACAAATGAAAAATTACTTTGCTATGAGCTGTTATTAAGTTTAAATGCAGGTTGAATACCTTTAGGTGATAAAATTTGAGATAAAGCTCTATCAAATTTCAGATGGCTTTTAGATTTAAATTATGGGATAGTAAACTCGGTATTGCCTTACATTTATTGGTTTTTCTTACTTAGTTTTTTGATATTTTCTTCGGATTCCATTTATTCGAATTTATATACAGGTTTTGACTTTGACAGAGAAAGCTTTTTTCCTCCTGAACTTCTGTAAAATATTTTGTTATCTTACTTTGGCTTACAAGAATTAATATTTTCTACCTATGAGAGCATATCAATAATAATTTGAGAAGGATTTTTCTTTGCTTCTTCAGATATTAGATTTGCATTTACTATATCTCCAAATGAAGTTCGAGAATTAAAGATCAATGTTTCTTGTTTTTTGGATGGAGAAAAAGTTTGCATTCTCTTTAAATTTTGTTGTGAGTGAATGCGTTAGCTTATAAGTGAAATATTGTTTTTGCTGCTTTGTTTATTTAATTTATCATTGTTTTTGGATTGCTCTTAAAAAGGATATTCTTATATTTCATAAATAGGTATTGAATTTGTTGAGTCTCTCTTTAAGCTGTTAAAATAGCTATTGCTAATACCATTACCATATACCAAGCTTTTGCTTTACATATTAGAAATGAGATGTTTTTTAATATCATCAGTCTTTTAATTGTTGACATCTTGGAGATTTTCGTTGGTGAATAGATGAAAATTTTCAGTTTTATTATTGATTTGATTTTATGACAGGTTTGAGTTACTTTAATTGTAAATATTGCTTTCAACGAAATTTTGCATCGAAATTTAGTAATGATTTTGGGAATTTAGTGGGCTTAAAACAGAATTGTTAGACATTTCGTTGTCCTTCTCTTATTAGTCTAGTTGATTTCCCTATCTGCTTAAACCTAACGATGAAGCAGAAGTTGTTTGCAAGTATTTTGGTTTCTAAATATGATTTTTCTTAACCCCAGAGGATATCATATATTTAACTTCTTTTTCCAAATATTTATCTTTGAGAGAATTTTTATTCGATTCAATGTTAGAAATATCAACTTGGGAAAATGTAGAAGAAATGTATCTTGCTTGATTTTGTTGATAAGGCTTAAACAAAGAGCAGTAATTAGAGTTACCTTTAGATTTGTGTGATTAATTAGAATCATTACTATTAGAGTGTTAGAGTTATTAAATTTTATTGGTAATATTATTATTGTTATTGCTTGGAGAGTAAGAAAAATTAGGACTGAGAGTATTATTTCTTTAAATATTATTAATGATATTATTATATTTATTTTATTAAGATATTTTCTCAATATTATTGTTTGCGATCTATTCGATTTAAATCTAGCTGTTGTTTTATGATAAACTTATTGGAGTTTATGCAATTTGAGCTTATTGAATGCTCCACTATATGCTTGAAAGATTAGGTGAATCGCTTACTTACTAATGAGTGTTTTTATTTGAATTAAAGTTTGAATCTTAAGTTATCTTAATTTAAAGTTATTTGTTGTTGTTGTTATTTAAATCTTCTAAATCAAAATTATTTTCTTAGATGGATTCTATTTTTTAAGCTTCATGCATTGAGTTTGTATTCTTAAGATTTTTCTTCTTTTTTAGATGAATTGATTCAAAGATTTAAAGTTTTTATTATTTATTTTAGGGTTATTTCAATTCATTTTTACTTGACTAATCTTCTTCTCCAAATATATTTTTTTCATCTATATTATTTACTTGTCTGTTGCTTTCGCTGTGAAACGAATGAGTCTTTTTGTTGAAATTATAATTATCTCCCCAGACTTATTAGTTCCCTGTTTATAAATCTTAATAGAATTAAGGTCTATTTTCTTTTAAGTCGTTGCTATTGATTTCGTAATTCTAAATTTAAATAAGTTCTGATTGATGTCTAACTCTTTTATCTTATTGTGAATTCAAATTAAACTAAGAATAATTTTCTATCTTAGACTAAGTTTTATTTTATAACTCATCTATTTCCTCAATTGACTAGGGTAGAGAGATATTTGAGTGCAGTGCCTTTTAACTTACAAAAAGGAATCGCTTAGATGATTAAGTAGTTTTAATTGGTGATTCAGAGATGTAATCTTGATGGTGACTCTTCGCAGATAACATAGGAGATTGTAAATATCCTAAAGTTGGAGAATTTTAAAGTGATTAATTTTTGAATTCAATTGTTGCAGATTAAATTTAAATTGGAGTGCTAAATTCTTTAGTAGAAGAAATTAATGAAGACTAGCTCTTATTTTAAATGAGTTAACCAATATTTCCTGTCTTAAATTTGACATAGTCTAAAACAGAGTTGCTTAACTAAGGAGGTGATTTTTCTACATTTAGTTTTTTCTGTTTATTCAACTTATAATTAACTTCTTAGACTATTTCCTGAGGAACATGAACTTTAAGCTTAGACATTTCAGTATTTCCAAATTTTTCGTGATAATTTTTTACAATTTTGCTCTTAAAGTCCTAGCTCAATTCATCTTTGAAATGAGAAAGCTTAGAGTGAACTTTATTGTACTTAAATTGTTTGTCTTCTTTTTCCTAAGCCTTAGCTTTTTCAACAATTGTTTTAGGAATATCAAGCTTGATTCCAGATGAATTAACGCACATTTTTGTGATAAGCTCAGCTTTATCCTGTTAAGAATCCTATTCAAAATAATATTGTGTAAAACCTTCCATACTGCGAACAATCGTAGCTTCTCTATGTTCTATATAAAAATAATAAAAACTTTAGGTTGGTTTTTGAGAAATTAGTGTGAAAACTTTAAAAAACAAAATTGCATTGATATTAAATTAGTTTTTTGATAGAATAAAATTAATAATTTGATTTCATATTAACTCTTTAGTCTTACTAAAATTAATAATTAATTTATATTTTTTATTGTGAATTAAAAGTAAAATTTGCGTTATTGTCTTTGAAATCAATTACTTAATTTAAATTTTAATTGTCAAATTTCAAAATTAATTGAACGGAAAAAATATTTTTCTAAGCTTTTACTTTCTTTAAATTTTGCTAATCGATAAATCAAATTTGTGTAAAGTTGTATCAATAAGATTAAAAGCTGAAGACAGCATAAAATATATAAAATATGTAGAAATTATCTCATTAACAAGTTGAAAAAAACTTCTTGTTTTGTATTCATGAAAATTTATGAATGAGGTATCATTAATTATATTTCTACTAAATTTGAGTTAAATTATATTAAAAAAGATATCTGATCCACTAGATAGATATTAAAGATGATATTTAAAAAACTAAGTTAACAAATTTATTTATCTAGTGATTAATTGAGTTTTATTTACTTTCAAAAGATAAAAGTAAATAAATATCTTAAATTAATCATATCAAATTTTATATGATATCAATATCAATTAGAGTTTTTAGAAACAAATCAGAAATCAAATTGCGTAAAAGATTTCAATTTTTTGTTGTTTTAAAAAAGATTTTTGTCATTAAAAAGCCTATTTTTAAATAATTTTGTGCATTTAGCTAAGAAACTCCACAAATAAAAATTCTTTCACTATTTTATCTCAAAATAGACTAAAAAAAAGTTTACATATGTAATTTATTTATAGATTCATCTATTGCCTGAGGTAAATCATAGTTAACTTGTCTGACATTAGCCTTTTTCTAAAATCATTTGCCCTGATCATAATCACTTCACCTGCTTCTTTACACACAATTCCGTAGCTATAAACGCTGTTTTTTTATAGAAAGTCTTCATATCCAAATATCTGTCCCTTTCCCAAATCTAAAATTGAGATAAGTTTTTTCTTCTGTTTCTAAAGCTGCAAAAAGTACTTATCTTAATTCAAAACTTAGTATTCTTTCTCTTCATGTTCTTCGTCTATTTCTTAATCCTCGTTTAATATCGTCTTTCTGTTGTATTCTTTCACCAGCTATTATAAGAAATGTTTTATTTATTTAATTTTTTTTATTTATTTCAATCTTAAAATTATTTTTAAAATTAATAAATAAATTCAAATTCATCGAATATTTATTTTTTAACTTTAAACAACATCTTTAAAAAGGTTTTTGCTGCTTAATAACAAATAATATTTATTTTTATTAAATTTTTGAATTTCTGTTGTTTGAGTTAACATGAAATATCTATCTATCCAATTTAGAGTTGCATATTTGTTTGGAATTTGGTGTAAATAATTTTTAGTATAAAGATAATTAAAATTTGATATCTAAAACAAATTAAAATTTATTGTAAATAGTAATGAAAATTATTTGTGATTAACAAGGCAATCATATGAAAATAAAAAAACTTTTGGATAAAATTTAGTTTTCCTGCTCAAAATTTTATAAAATGATTTTGTTTCTTCATAAAAAATTAAAAATAATGCTTTTAATTTCGAAACTTTTTTCTAAAAAATTTGTTTATTTAGCTCTTTGTATTACCATTTTATGCTGTTCGCTCTAACTGAAATAGCCACAAATTATTTTTAGATTGATATACGCACTTGTTTTTAGATAAGAGTTAATATCATTTAATATTCATAATTTATAATTTTAAAATGCGACTGACTTAATTAATGGTTTAATTGACAAATTAAATAATTTGTTTGTTTATTAATTTAATTATCTAATCACAAAATAGATAATTAAATCAGTAATATTTTCTTTATTTGTTAATTTAATTTGTAAATTTATCTGAGGCATGTTTGCTGTTATAAATTTCTCAACGCTAAAGAATATCCATTCCAATAATTTAGTTTTTATTGGTAAATGAATGAAAATATGTTAGTAATTACACTAAATATTTATTTACTCATTACTAATAAACAATTTTTTTTGTTCTACCAAAAGAAATAAAGAAAGAAAAATTTTAGTATATAAAAATCTCTCAACTATTCAGTAATAATTTATAAAACATTGTTTTGGAGCAGTAAATACTAATTATTTCTGAGATTATCTAAAGAAAATACTATTCTTAATGTGTGTTTAATTAAATCTCAAATAATACCTTATACTACCCAGATTTTATGATGAATATTGCCTCTAGAGAGTCACCACTGATTATTACAAACTCATTTGGAGCATACTTTTTGAAAATGGCATTGAAGTAGAGCTGCTTTATTGTGTGCTTCGAGCTAAATTTTAAGAGGGGATTTTCATTACCAAACGCATCAATTCTTTCCTATAAAATATCTTATTCTAGCTTTTTTAATATCTTGTCGAAGCTCGCTTTATCAATCACAGCGAAAAAGCAGTCTGTCAAGCACTAAACAGTAGCTGACCTAGTCTTAAAATTGAGCAAGCCTAGCTCACCAAAGTAATCGCCATCTTCTAAATTTTTGACTTGCACTAAATTGTCAAATTTGTTGCCTGGACCTTCTTCTACTTTTTTAGTAAAGAGTCCTACCTCTCCCTAAATTATGATGTAAAACTTGTTGCCTTCAGTATCTAAATTAATTTGAATTATTCAACAAATAAATAAATAAATAAAATTATTTTTATTTTATCTAGCAAATAATTATTTCAATTTATTCAATTTAAATTTCAATTGCATTTTAAGTTAGTGTGAAAAATCCACCTAGTTTTTATAATTTTAGTTCAAAAAAAGCCTTTTACTAATATAAAAAACGATGTCTCCTTTCTTCATTTCAAGGGGTTAAAGAACTTTGCAGCATTCCTAAGGGATATTTTTATAACCTGAGATGACATATTTTTAAAAAAAGGAAATGCTTGATGTATAATTATATAGCAATTGCCACTCAGTATCAGTTCTTTCTTCAATTTTCTTGCTTAATATGCTAATTATTTCCTAATAAATTAATAATTACAATTATCTCACAAAAATATCTTTTTAGGATTATTTTTATTTTACTGCCTGTACAAGAGGGTCCTTTTCCATGTAATAGTCCTGGTATTATTTCTATTTAAATAAAAGCTATTCTATGTTCAAAATAATTATCTATCTTTGTATCTAAGTACTTAGTTACTCACTCTATTTATATATTTATGTATGTCTTTCCTATGAATTATACTAAATATTATTTTGCTATAATTATTATGATAGATTGATTGATATTCTTTTTAGATTTAATATTACTAAGTATGCTTATTTATTGATTAATTAATTGATTTATTATTAGCATAACTAAATGATCTTAAAATAGCAAGAAATAAATCACAATTACTATCATTTCAATTATTTGAATTTATATCTTTACAACCATTTATTTTCAATCAATTACCACTAAATACTATCTCTCAAAAAATCTAAAATTATAAGATAAGCTTACATTATCCTTTGATAAAGGATATGTTCTATTTTTTATAAGCAATTTTTATCTTATTTTCATAAAATTTATTTTAATAGAGAAAGAAAAAAATATTTTTTAGGTATGTTTTAGATTAACAATATAGTTTTAAAACTAAAGTGAGACTTTCAAAATAGCTATTGATATCTCTTAACTGACTCTTAAATGGAATCAGCAGAACATAATTACAAAATTATGCAATTAAAATAATAAAGAGAAGAAAACTTTTATGTTCTAATTACTTGAATTTAGCTTACTAAATAAAAAGTATAAATGTGCATATAACCAAAATTAATTAAAAAAAGGGTGAAACTTTACAATAATGCAATTCAACTGAAAATAAAGAATATGTTTATAAATCCATCAAATAAAATAAAATTATTATTAACTAAAATTTAAAATAATATTTTTTTTTTAAATAATGATTTGGAATATAAACTCAACCAACAAATTTAAAACAAAGTGATTATTTAATTATGATACAAAAAAAACAAAACAAAATGAAATAATTATTAAATTAAAAAAAATTATTTATTTATTTTATTTTTTTATCAATTTAATTTATTATTAATTAAATAATGATTTGGAATATTAACTTAACCAACAAAATTAAAGCAAAGTGATTAATTAATTTTGATATAAAAAAAACAAAATAGAATGAAATAATTATTAAATTAAAAAAAATAATTTATTTGTTTTATCTCTTTATCAATTTAAATTATTATTAATTAAATAATGATTTGGAATATAAACTCAACCAACAAATTTAAAATAAAATGATTAATTAATTTTGATACAAAAAAAACAAAATAGAATGAAATAATTATTAAATTAAAAAAAATTATTTATTTATTTATTTTATCTCTTTATCAATTTTAATTATTATTAATTAAATAATGATTTGGAATATAAACTCAACCAACAAATTTAAAACAAAGTGATTATTTAATTTTAAAATTAAAATTAAAAATAAAACAAAATGAAATAATTATTAAATTAAAAAAATAATTTATTTATTTATTTCATCTCTCTATCAATTTAAATTATTACTAATTAAATAATGATTTGGAATATTAACTCTACCAATAAATTTAAAACAAAATGGTTATTTAATGTTGATATACAAAAAACAAAACAAAATGAAATAATTATCAAATTAAAAAAAGTAATTTATTTATTAATTTTATCTCTTTATCAATTTAAATTATTTATAATTGAATGCATTTTTTCCAGCAGATAATATTTATTTTCAATCAAAGTAAATATTTTTTTTAACTAATCTTTTAAACTTTGTTATACAAGTATTTATCGTAAACTTGAAATGTTGATTAATAAGATTATTTATTGAAAATGATTTTTTACTATAGTTAAAAATAATTAATTAAATAAAATAATTTGAATTACACTTAATAAATTTACCTTAAATCCAACGATAAATAGATTAATCTAATACACTTTGATATACTTTTGGTTAATTCTAAAGCACATTATCCGCTAATTTTATTGTCTCTTTTAATCATATTTAGATTTAAATGAGAGAATTAATAAAAATAATATTAGAAAAAATTTAATTTATTTTTTAGAATTTAAAAAAACAAATAAGTTATAATAATAAATTATTATTTACACTAAATAAAGCTTTAGAATCTATAAATTTAGGCATTTTGCTAATCCAGAACCTAACGCTGATACTCCTTCCTCAGAGATCATATTTTAACTTTGGCCAATTTTAAGATTTTATAATTAAATAAATAAATTGATATTGAAAAAAATTAGAATTATTGTAAGTTAATTAATGTTTATTATAAGAACTAAAAAAATACACACAACTTAATTATCACTTTGTAAAATTTTGAATAGCAGCTAAAGTAATATAACTATATATCACTTTTGCAAATTTATATTCTACAGTGATAAGGATAATTTTTTTTATTATTTTTAAATATTATTATAAATAATAATGTTTAAAAATAAAATTATGAGTAAAATTATTCGTTAAATATATATATATACCCTGTAGTTTATTAAATAAGATTTTATTGATAGCAGAAATAAATAAATATATTAACTCCTTTTTGAAATAAATAATGTAAACATTTTTACTTGAGATTGATAGTTAAACAAGAAAGAGAAGGGAAACTTTCTAATGCATTACCTAAAATAGATACACTAATAGAATCAGGCAAACTATAATTGTAATTCATTTTGTATTATTTAAAATTATTTTATTTACAATATTTAAAAATAAAATTTTTCACTTAAAGAGTAAGAGTGAGAAAATTAATTAATTTAAAAGATAAACAAGATCATGTAAAATTTGTTTTACTTCAGTTATAAATTCAAACTTTTGAGATTATGATTTTAGTTAATAACTAAATTTTATTAAGTTTCATTCGTTTCTTTTATAGGTTTTCCCCTTTTAATATATTATTATTTAAATTATTTCTACCAAATCTTACTTTGAATATGAAAAAAAAAATGAAGCATTAAAACATTATCTTAATTTTGAGCATTAATAAATTTAATGAAAATGAATGTTTGTTTGAACTAATTCAATTGCTTTTAATTTATTTTTTTAAAATAAATAATATTAAAAAGATTAAATCATAAAATAAGGAAAAACTATTTATTTTTACCCTATTCCAAATAGATTAGCAGTTAAAAGACTACTACATTTACCTAAAGATTAAAGTAATCTAGCAAAACCCCACATTTAAATGTCATTATTTCTTTATGTGTTTGTTAAACAAAATAAATTGTAAATCATTTTAAAGAAGTAAAATTTGAATGATTATCAAAATAAAAAGAAGGTTTTTAAAAAGAAAAAACAATGAAAATAATTTTTACTTTAAAAATAAATTTAAGGTTTATAGACTTGAGTATTTTTCTAAATTAGAGCATAAGAATATAACTCCTTGGTACTTAATATCATTATTACTATAATATATAAATAAAGTAATTAAATGACTTATCCTTCAGTTTAAACCTGAATTTATATATATTCATTAAAAAGTTTATTCATAATTTTTACCACAAGTTAAAATCTAGGCTCTACAGCTAAGAACAGCTAACTAGTGGAGAAAATAATTCCTATACAAATAAATCAGATATCTTATTTTAACTTTTTAATTAATTATAATATTTTATTAACATTTTAATTCATTTAATATAGTTTTTTTAAATGAAAAGATAGATAGATATTCTTTGTAAAATAAATTTTCCCATAAAATAATCAATCAATGAATCAATAAAGTATTTAGTAAACAAGAGTATAATTATATAATAAAAAGCTTTACCAAAGGTCAATTTTTAAATCTTAAAGACCTTTGCAAGTTGCTAAAGCTTAGCCCAAATTATATGCACTTACAACTCCTATGTTGCTGAATCTTTGAATTATAAAAAAATAGATTAATCAATTTTAATTTTAATTATATTATTTATTTATAAATATTTATTATTAAATTTTTTAAATAAAAAATTATTCATTTTTGTTGCTTTAAAAATTAAAATTAATTTCTTACAGTTTGTTCTAACAAATTTATGATAATTTTTTAAACAAAATTTATTATTTCTTTTTGATAAATTAAAAATGAGTAAGAAATGATTTTACGCAAGATCAAGAACTAAAACAGAGAGATTAACACATCTTGATATTGCTTAAGAAAATTTAAGTATATTGCTTAGATTCATTATTTTTCCACTTAACATTTATTGTAAAAATGATAATGTTTAATAATAAAATAAATACCTAATTTAAATAATTTTACCACAAATTGATATAAATCTTATTATGCTGAGTAAGAGGAGATTTTACAAACTTTTAATACATAAAATCATATTAATATATTAAAAATAAATGAATAAGTTACTGAGTCTAAATCCAAAAATTAATCTTAAGATTTTAAAACCTTTTATTATTTATTTCCCATTTTTTATTACTTATTTTTAATCAATAATAGACTGATATTATTTTTAATCTTTAAATATTAATTACTTTATCTCAACTTAGAAAATTGATCAAAATTTAATCTTATTGTTTTGATTTTACATTTTTAATAATAAAAAAATCATTGTTAAATTTTCAATTTTTCAGAAGTAAAAAAGTATTTATTCAAAAATTTAGAGCAAGTAATATCATGAATTTATAAGGAAAAAAAATTAATTATGATATTTTTAGTTTTATTGTAAACGTAATTCAAAATATTTTTATAAAATCTAATTTATTATTTAATATAATGGAATAAGGAGGGTTAAAAAAATTATTTTTTACAATTTCTCCTCCAATTTTAAAAATACTTCCTCTTTGAATACAGTCATCGTATTAGTTCCAAAAATTAAAAAACCCCCGGTTCACTTAATGTTATTTAAGATCATTAACAACAATATGTAGGCAGATTATATCCCTCTGCTCTCCGTTGTATAGAAAAACTTAAAGGTAACGGACTATAATAAGATATGCTTTTATTTATGAAATTGACAAATCAATGTATAAAAGTTCTTGATTGTATTAATAATCATTTTTAGAATAAAATAAATAATGTTTTTAGTTAGAAGTAAATAAATAAATAAATAAATAAATGATGCATATTTTTAGTATTTAAATGCTATAAGATAGCAAATTAATTAATTAATAGTACTTTATTATTATAGTTTATAAAGTTGAATGAAGTATATTTAAAATAAAATCTATGAGAATGTAGAGTTAGTTATTAAATATATCTTTGAGTATATTGATTATTGTTTTGTTAGTGAAAATAAATTAATCGTTGATTAAGTATCTTGCTTAAAACTAAAGTAAAGAGATTTAAAAAATAAGTAAACAAATAGAGTATTATTAACACTTATCTATTTATTAGAATATATAAATGAAGTTCAACTATTTTTTATTACAGCTTCTTTTAGTTTTTAATTTAGCTAAAGCACGATAGCAAATCGAAAATTGCATCTCTTACTTGGTAGTCTACATGGATCCCTAAAACTAGTAATTGACTTTGATTTGCTAAGAGTGCTTGGAAGGATATATTGTTGCATCAGATTTCCAATCATGCATCTCTAATAAAAACTTTCTCTACGATTACAAATATTGTAAAAGATTGGATTCAAATAATTAGTGCGATGAAGGACTGTGCTCTATTTACATAGATTAATATGGAAATTTTTTTTCAGAAACTGAATACTACGATCCCAGATGCGCAAAGGTGGATAAAATTAATAACATTTGTCTCAGACCAAGATTCCCTTTCACTTTGGTCTAAGATGATAACTCTTTTTACTACGAAGATAACTACTTTTGCTAAATATAAAATGCAAATAAAGATTGTATCAAGAGATATGGAGGCTTTTAGTAACAGAACGGGTATAAAAGTTTTATAATGCCTATAAACAACAACTTTCCAAATTAAAATTGTTAGATTTCTAACTGCAAAAGATGCGGATTAATTAACAATTTATAAGAACTGCAATATTGTCAAGAGTGCTAAAGCAATTTTTACTCAAACTACAATCTTTTGTGTGATGTTAATTGCATATAAGACCCTGTAAGCTAAAAATGTATTTATTGCATATTACCAGATAATATTCTTAGGGTAGGGGATCAATGCTAAAATAAATTGAAAGAAGTTCCAAATTGCATAAAGAGTAATTCAATAGGAGTTTGTATATAATGTAACGAAGGTTATTTTTACCACATTTAAAATCAAGCATGCTAAGAGAGAGTTGCATCGAAATAAAATTGCAAATTGGTCAATCCTATTTCTGATTAATGCTTAACTCCTGAATGTTAAGTAGGTTTTTCGCTTAGTTAACAATTCGAAAATGACTTTTATTATACATAAAGCTAATAATATGATAGCATAAATGTATTTCTTCTACCTTCTGAATATCTCTAAAAAATACTCCAAGATCCCAAATAATATAAATTATAAAACTAAATTATTAGCATTGACATTCCTGACAATTAAGATGTTAAAATGATTATGCAAGACTTTTATTACACTAACTCAATTAACCAAATGTGTGTAAATACTCCAAATTTAATTGATGGCTGTATATAATATTTAGGAAATTTATGTGTCTAATGTGAAAACAATAAGATTTATTATTAATATATGCCAAAAACAGATTCAAATGGATTGTTTTACAAAAGCTATTGTGGTGAATCTTAAAATTTAGGAGTAGAAAACTGTTTGCTTTTTAAAAATAATTAATGTTTAAAATGTATCGACACATTTTATTTAGATGGTGGACAATGCTTATAGAATCCGATTTCTAACTGCATGATTATTGTAAAAGGTTCTGATGGCTAAACTTTTTAATGCTCATAATGCCAAAAAGGATATTAATATAACTCTTAACTAAATAGTTGTGTTATTATACCAAAAAACTGTATAGATTATCAATGCTCTTAATGTATCGATAACATAAACTATTAACTAAATATAAATACTTAACAAAATACACGTTCCTGTTTTCAAATTAAATAGTAATAACCCCAATTTGAGCCTTGTTAACAAAAAACTGATGGATAATGCACTCAATGTAATTATGGTATGTATTTGATTTATTAAATTATTACTTTTCAATTTAAATTAATTTACAAAAAGATCCTAATTTATTCTTTCTCCCTTACCTTTTTTTTAAAAAAATGAGTCAGCCTTATCAAATTTAAAAAAGATATTTATTTTTTAGATATCAATAGAATATATTTACATAATAAGCTAGACGGTTTTTCATTATCTTAATATAATAAAAACAATCACCATAATTATTTCCTTACAATTAATTAGCAAACACTTACTTAAATTTATCAAAGTATTTTTTAAATTTATAAAAATATTCTGATTTTTTAAGCATTAATAACTTTAAAATAAATAATTTATTAGCAAAACTTATATTTTCTGATGAAATAATATACATGACTTTAATATTCTAGAGTATTTTTAAAAACAAACTCATCGTTTTTCCAAATTGTCTATTTTAGAAATATTTAAATTTTACATAGTTGAGTTATACATTAATTGGAGACTTTTTTTTATTAACTAAAATTAAAAGGAACTTTATTGTAAAATGGGCAGTGCGTATTAAATTAGTCACCTTGCTTAAGATTTTCAGATAATAAGAAATGCTTAGAATGTTAAGCTAATTATACTTTATTTAAAGGAATGTGCTACTACTCAGATCCTCTGTCTTATTGCAATAAATCTAGATATTACTAAAACTCCTCTGGATATGTGAGTAATAAATAAATCATTAAATTAGTTTTTTTAAATTTTATCACCACCAAATTTATTTTAATTTATCTTTTGAAGATTAAAGAAGAATTTTAATTGAGTTAATATTCATATTTAACAAAAAAGGCAAATGTGATTTTAATCCAAATGCATATGAAACTGAAAATGGACCTAATTGCATTGAAAATTAAAATTGCAAAGAAGGAGAGTATAAAGATGAAACAGGATAATGCTAATAATGTAAGTTTAATACTCCGAGTAGATAAATAAAAAAATGCTATAAAAACTTCAGTTTAGATATTAATGCTTACTATGATGAAAAAACTAACTAAGCATGGAATGAGCTTTATAATAAATATTTTCCGATATGTTTAAATGGGAGACATTTAATAAATAATAACAGTGTATGCTCATATAATGTTCAACTGAAATACCCAAAAATTATTAAAAATTAAATAACACAAAAATACATTAATTAGTTTCCAACAAGTGATGACGATATCAGCTAAGAAATTTAGTTCGATGACAAAAAAAATTAATATTTTTGTCCTCAAAAGGTATGGCTTTAACAGGCTTGGTAGGATTCTCTAAGTAAATGTTAAATTTAAGTATAAAATTTTTGTTACTAGGGTTTTGTTTTTGAAGGTGGCATATGCTAATTTAAGTGTGGGAATGGACTTATATCTTTTTCAGAAGATGGCTGCGCAACTTCTGAACAATGCCAATAAGGTATGTAGTGGTAAAATGAACTAAAAACTTGTATATATCTTTGTGGTGATGGTTTAGTTGCTTTTAATAACATGTCTTGTGCAACCACAACAACCTGCTAAATGAGTGATTAGAATGAAAAGTCACCTGAAAGATGCTTCAATTATATATAAATTAATAAAAGTTATACTTACTCAGCGGGCAATTCTTATGGATATTTATATGCTCTAATTGCATTTCTAGTAATTGCTTTGTTATTATCAATCCTCTACATTAGAAAGTTGAAATAGGAATAAAAAATTTTTAAAAATACCACAGTTGCTTCCACATAATAAGAAAATAAAGACACTGAGTCAAATAAAGAATCAGAACCATTAAATCAAAAAGAAATTATTTATAATAATCAAGATAATTTAATTACTATTTAGGTAAATCAAGATGACTTACCTGAAATATAAAGTTCTAATGAAGATTTTAGAATTGAAAGTAAAATTTAAAGATATAACAATTAAAAAACCTTAATAAATTAGATAGAAAATAAGTTAAAGTAAGATCTTGAAAAGCAAATTAACAATCAATTTGAAATAGAACTACCATCTGACCCCTCCTCTTAAATCAACTTCAATGGTATTCCTAAATATAACCTTAAACCTGATCATAGATATTCTTAAAGCTCATATATTCAAAATAGTAATCAGCATATGAAATAAAAAGAAGAACTTTAAAGTAAATTATTTTATTTTTATTATTAATTTTTATTTTTATTGTATTTTATTAAAAGGGCAACACTCACTACATCTTAATTTGCAGTTTATTGATTAAAAATAAAAATGAAAAAAACTCTTCTTATACAAATATAGATTTATTATATGCCATAATTCTAATAACATCTTCGAAAACTTTATTCAAAATTTTCAAACTCAAAATATTTTTAATAATTAAGATTTAGAAAAAAAAAAAATTCATTAGTAATATAAAATGAAGGAACAGCAATATATATAATATTTGATTACTTAAAAAATAATTTAATAAAAAATTAATATTATTATTTAGAAAATTATATTTATAATTTTTAACTTTTAATAAAGTTTTTAATTTATTATTATCATGGAAATAATTTATTGATAACTAAAAATTTTTCTATTTTTTTGCTTTCTTTCATTATTTTAATATAATTTTTTAATCTTTTTTGAAATAATTTACTTGTTTTTTTTTCTAATTAATGCAAAAATAAATTAAATATATTTATTTGAATTAAAATAAAATAATTAAAATAGCTAAAAAATTAAGGCTTCAAATACTTAAATTATTGATTGTTTTATATATATATACAAACCTCTATTATTTCATAACAAATTAGTATATTAATCTTAAAATATTGTTATATAAGATCATATTTATTGCTTTTTTGCATAAGTATTTATATAATTTTATTATTTAAAAAAGAATAATAATAATTAAATTCAACAAAATATAAGAATATGCAGAAATTAGGTCGTTTATTAGCTATTACTTTTTGTATACTTTATTTAATTAAAGGAAATTAGTAAATTAATAATTGTGGAATTTAATAGATTGTTTACTCAGATCCTCAGCATTTAAATCCTTATATTATTTGCACAGAATGCTCATAAGGGTATATAGTTAATTATGATTTTAAGTCATGTATTAAGGCAACCACTCTTCCATTGGGTATATTTTAATATTGTAAAAGACTTGATAGAAACAGATAATGCGATGAGGCTCTTTGTACTATTTAAATTGACTAAAATGATCTTTTTGTAAGGGAAAACCCATATTAATATGATCCAAGATGTGCAAAGATAGATACTATAAATTAAATATGTATATCACCCAGATTTCCTTACACTCTTGAAATAGCAACAAATCAAATATTTCATTACGCTAATAGTTTTTGCAAAATACAATATTACAATGGCTGTAGGTAAAACTACGAAACATTCTACTAATCCATATCGAATTAACTATATTTTACTCTGGTGAATTTTATTAATCCAGATCTAATTGATTAAAAAACCATTTACAAAGAATAAATAAAATGCCTGCCAAATTTTACTTACCAACAAGTAAGCAAATAATTCATTGTTGAAGGATGCTATCCAGTTTCATAAACTTGCTCAAATGTAGACATTAACGGTTTTTGCAAATGTCCTGATGATCAGGCAGTTGATTCAACAGGCTCTTAATGTTTAGCTTATTAGAATTGTTAGATTGGATATGCGAATAATATAAATTAAATAAAGTATTGTATTTAATGTAAATATGGATACATCAAATAACCTTATTAAGCAGATTGTACCCTACGATGCATTGAAGATACTGCTAATTAAATATGCAAATACTGCTATACTGGTGATTAAGGATAGTTATACTATGGATAGTTTTGTGATTAAGTTATTGTAAGTAGAACTGATTCTAATTGTTAAATTACAAATTCTTCAACTGGAGATTGTGTTAAGTGTAATGAATAATTCTTCTACTCTATAATTGACAAAATTTGCAAGTATAGAGCGAGATCTAATGGCTGTTAATATCTAAATCCTGTTTCTGACTAGTGTTTAACTTTGTAATGCGCTTAGAAATATTAATTAAGTGATTAACTAGCATAAATTTTGTGGTAGAAAATTCCAAAGAATCTAAATTCACAATTCTCAGACCCTCAAAATGTTATCCTTTTGAAATATTACTTAAATTAATACTTTGCTTAACCAGACACTGTGAAAAGTGGGTTCTTTTAAATCTCAAATAACCTCATTGAAATATTTAGCGAAAAAATTGATTTAACTAATTTAAACTTACTTTCAGATATTTACTACTACAACGATATCGGTACAAATATTTGTTAGCCTATATATTACAATAATTAAGTACCAAACTGTAAAACATTTTTTGCAGGTTTGTGCATTGAATGCGAAAATAGTGATGTCTATTATTAGTAAATTGGTCCTGCTAATCCAGTGTAAACTTTTTTATATGTTTATAATAGCTTTTGTGGGTAATCTGAGGATTGGTACATTCCGAATTGTAAAGTTTTATCAGGTGATATGAGTAGCTGTATGGTTTGTAAGGAAGGTTATATTTTTAATAGCAGTAATTAATGTGTGCTTGGAAATATTCTGAATTGCATTTTCTAAGATAGTCAAGGAAATTGTGTTTTCTGCAAATAGCAATATGTACTTAGTAATAATAAATGCTACTTTATTTCTAAAAACTGTGCATAATATACCTTTGATGACTAAAAAAATGTTTTATGCACAGCATGTAAAGACACAAATACTTTTTAATTAGTTTAAAATACCTTACAAAAAGTTTAGTCATGTTAGCTTTTGAATCCCTTAGTTTATCAGCCTTGTCAGTTTAAAGTAGATGGAACATGCAAATAATGCGATAAGGGTAATTTCCAATTAATTTATAATGAATAATTTAAGTCTTATAAATATAAATATAATTATAAATTTTAGGAACAACATTAAATTAGTAAACCTATCAATGCGATATTAATCAAGATAATCCATATTATTGCTAATCACCAGTAGGCAGCAATTCTAATTTATGTAATTAATGCTAGAATGGTTACATACTAGATAAGGGAATTTGCTTTCCTTAAAGTGGAAGTTGTTCCTATTATAAGCCTTTATCAACCTCATATTAAAGTAAATATTAGGATAAAATTATCTCATTAAAAAAATTATTCCAAAATATTTTATTTTAAACCCTTTTAAAAATCTAATTAGAATTTTAATGCTAAATATTTTGAAAATGAAAAAAGATTGTTGAATATTGATAATTTGAATAAATATATTTTTGTTTTATTAATAGATATTTGTGATTACGAAAATCCTCAAAATCCATAAAATCAGCTATGTTAATTCTTTAATTAGTAAGGCTAATATTTAGCCTATGACTAAAATTATAAGATTTTTGTTTAGAAAAGCTGTAATATCACTGATAGTTAAAATTGCTTTAAGTGTTCTCTGAATATGTGCTTAGACACTCCTGATACATGTGGTGTTGGAAAAGGATGGAGTAAAACTTTCAATCAATGCTTTGAATAATGCTTAGATGATAAACTCTTGATTGATTTGCCTCAAAATCCTTAAAAGATGTGTAATTATAAAAGAAGATGTGATATATCCAAAAATATTATTTCTAATATGTTTTAATGCTCTGATTGTAGTTTGGTAAAAACTATATATGAATGCATCCCACAATAACAAAACAGTGTTTAGTGTCAAAATAATTACTTTTTCTAAAAGGGTTAATGCATGTATAACTGTGGAAAAGGAAAAATTTCTTATGATTAATCTTAATGCCAATATTCCTAGCTTTGTTAGGAAGGTTTAACATGGAGTTATGAATATAATCAATGTGTTTATAAAGAGTGTAATAAAAATATTACAGCTGTTAATTAGTCATGCCTAAAACAATAAAAAATCTAAATTATATAATCTTAGTTACCTAATGATTATAGATTTTCAAAATACTACGTCGGACTAGCAGTTATTCTTGTTTTTTTAGTATTACTACCAATTTTTTATTTTGTGATATTGAAAATGGCTACAAAATTACATCAATAAACAAGAACTTTTATCAAATAATTAAGATTAGTTAAAAATGCTTAACAAATGAATAATGTCTAAAATTCTGATAAAAACATATAAACGAGTTTTTCATATAAGTAGAATTCTTAGGATAAAATAGAAGTACCACTTGATGAACAAAACATAACGGGAATCATAGTGTAAACGTCATCAAATAATATTCCCAGCAAATAAAACATAGTTGAAGAAGCTAAAAATAAGTAAAATTAAATAGAGATCAACATTTAAATGTATACGGAGCAAGATTAAGATGTTGGTAGTCCCAGCAATTTAGTATAAATTCAATCTCATAGAAGAGAAAACAGTGGATCACTTTTTAATTAAGTTGAAAATTAGAGTTGAATCAACTCTCAATAAGGATTCTTTTAAGTATAAAATGAATTGTTCGTTTATAAATTCATTTATTTGTCTTAAAATTTTTTTAACTTTTTTGTATTTTTAAGATTTAATTTTTTTTTATTTCATTAAATTTTCAAACAAAATAAAGATTAAAAAATAAAATAAAACATATTTTTATGATTTTAAATTGCAATTTTTCAAAGAACTTATTTTTCATTTTTTTAATTTTAAAAAAAAAATAAACTTTTTTTATGTTTACTTTTTTAATTTTGTTATCTTAGAATTTTTATTTTTAATGATTTTCTGTAATTGAAAAAAAAAGAATATCCTAATTTTTTCTAATATAAAAACAAATTGTGGCTGATTGTTTTTTTTTAAATTAAATCTAATTTAAAAATATTTTTAGTTATTTTTATAAAACTTAAAATAATAAAAAGATTGGAAAGGAATTCATAGTAAAATTAAATTTAGATAATAAAAAAGAATTTTTGTTATTCTAATCTGAGAAAACTTAGAATTTTTTTATTCTTCAAGTCAAAATCAATTATATTATTTAAAAAACATATATACCAGATATTTGATTGATATATGAATTTATTTTTACTTAATTACTAAGTAATTTCTTAATCAATTGCTTTAAAATAATTCAATTTAAACAGCAAATTTTTTAAAACATTAAATGTTCAAATGTATAAAATTAATTGAAACAATATCTTGTTTTAATTTATAAAAATTTGATTCAATAAATTAGCATTTTCTAGCTTTATTGTTTTTAAGTAATATATAAAATGAAAGAAAAGGATTAACCTTAAAATATCAAATATTTTTTTTATAAATTGCACAAAAAGGCTAGTGACTACGATAAGAAAGATTTTACATATTTATTTGAATGATATTTATATAAAAATACCATTTAATTTAGCATTTTTAATTACATTTACTTCAATATTGTTTAGTTCTATTAAAGAGTTACACTCAAATCAAAAATAAAATTTATTCCTTGAATTGTCTATAATTACATAAAATTTAATTATCTAATTGATGTTTTAATAATCATTGGTTTACATTATTACATGGTCTGTTATAATTAAAAAAACTAGCCATTCAAAGGACATTATTTGATTTTTCTTATACCATTGAATATTTTATATTTATTACCTATATTTCTAAATTTATTTAGCTAGATTTTAACAATCTAGAGAAAACACTAAAGTATATATCTCATAAAAATATCTTTTGAAGTTAACTTAAAGTCAATTTTGTTCACAAAAAAATCATTTTCACTGGAGCACGTTCGCAAAATAAAAATAGAAATTATATAAGTTAAACTCATTATATAAAATAAATAATAAATTAAAAAATACTATTTAATATATATAAGTTGAAGTTTTAGTGAAATTTTAGTAACTAATATATCATAAAAATAAATATTCATTATTTTAGTATTAAAGTTAGAACTATCATGAAATAAAATGAACTCAATGATAATTATTGAATATTATTTAAATAATATAATATTTTTTCATTTTTTTATTAAAATTTTAAAATAAATGTAAAAATGATATATTAAAAATGAATAGCCAACATTCTGAAAGTCTAAAAAGTTACTAATGAACTAATTAATAATTGACTCAGCTAATTAATAATTGACTCAGCTAATTAATTACTATTTTTAACTAGAACCTCTGAAAATGTGTAAAAAAGCAAATTTTAATAAATAATAATCATACCAATTAGATACTAATTGTTACTTTAATTAATAGTGATACATTTTTGATGACATAATTAATTACGCTCCATTAAATCTGCTCTAAAGATCATTTATTATTTATATTTTAATTCATAAAAATATTCAAACTTATTTTTATTTGTTAAAATTTTGTTAAGTATACTTTATTATTGAACTTCATATTTTAAAATTTATGAAAAACTTTATTAGAACACAAATACTATGTTTATTTTTTTAAATGTTGATCGATGTTAACTAATTAATGCTCATATCATGTTTTCATGTTTTTTGTTAAATTAAAATGAAATTTTAAGAAATAGATAAATATGATAATATTTAGTGGATAATTTAAATTAAATTTCCAAGAAAAATGATATTAAAACTATTCTACTCAAACACACAAAAATATATAACAAAATTAATTGAAAATATATAATTTTCTTACAATTTGATATAAATTTATTTATTTATTTACTAGAAACTCAATTCTAATCTTCTAAAATGCTCTTTTCAATTATTATTATTATGATATCTTTTTTTATACTTTTTTTATCAAAAACTTTACATATGTTGAGTAAGTTGGTAGTAAAATACTGATTAATAAGAAATTAAAAAATAAATTAAAAAAATAGATTCTTCTGATGAAAAGTGATATGATTATTTTAAAATAATGCCATTAAAGTTATATTTTTACTTATATTTTAAAAAATCGGGCTTTATCATATTTAAATACAGACCAACATTTCTAATCAATAATTAAAAAAATATAAACTAAAAATAAAAAATTGAAAATAAAATGAATTAAAATAAAATTTTAGCTTTACTTTGCATTGCTTTCTGCATCTTCCAAATTTCACAAGCTACCTAAAAGGATGCATTTGTTTTGAGCTACCTCTGGCCTGTTTATGGAAATTACTAAGGTGATTAAGTGTTCACTAAGTAGGACTTCCCATTCTTCGATGGATCAAACTTTGCTATTAACTATTTCTATCCTTTGCCTGATTAATCATATGTATGTTCTCCTCCTATCTGCAATAACCATCATACCTTTAATGCCACCAACATTAAAGAAAAAGATTACATCTATCTTGAAAAATACTTCCTTCGTTTTGGTTAGAATAACTCATAGACAAGCTAAGATCTCTGGAGAGAATATGGAAGCTGTTTTAACCACTCCTAAACCTAATATTTCCACTAAATGTCATAAGCTCATCAAAAAATCAATATTATTGAAGCTCTTAAAGCTGAAAATATTGTTCCTAGTGAAGAAATAGTTTATGATAGAGAACAAATTTAAGAAGCTCTCTCCAAGAAGTTTAATGGATTAAGACCTTATCTTTTTTGCTCTAATTTTTCTTTTGACGAATAAAAAGGTGAATCTTATTCCTACTTAAGACGTTTTGAGATTTACTTTGATAAAGATCTTAACCCTACTCATAGTACTTATTTGTGCACATTTGAATACTGCCCTGATAAAATCAAGATTCCTCCTTTCAAATTTTGAGGCATTTAATCAAAAATATTTAAAATATTGATTTTAGATTAGATTTATTGTACATTAAATATTTTATGTCTGCTAATTTATTTTTATCATTCATTCTCATTCACATAAAAAGAAAATTATTTGATGTAAATAAATATATCCTATTTTTACAAAAAATGTAATTAATTGTTAATTAAATTTGCTTTCTTATTTGTACATACTAATAAAAGAAACCAAATTAAGATTAATCAAATAAAATTCTTCTTTGATTAAAATATAATTCAAATTATTAAAGCATACTTACTTTAAACTTATATTATAGCCTTTCAATAATTAAAAATTCCACAATTTTTTCTAATTTTGAAAAGCTACTGTATTTTTAAAAGAAAATAAAATAGTAGAATTTGAATAAACATTATAAACAATAAACAAATTATATGTATTCATAATATATCTATGTACCCTAGCCTAATACCTTTTTTAAGGCTATACACTGAAATTTTAGACACTAATTCAATTTTTAATTATTAAAAAATCAATCAGTTTTATTCTTTTAATACAAAATTTATATTATTTTGATTTTTAATTCAAAAATAAATACTATTTTTAAGTAAACCCTTTGATTTATTTATTTGGTTAAATAAATTTTTTTAAAAATGTTCACAACCATAAAAATGATAAAAAAGATTACTTCGCAAAGATTAAAAACCTATATTACAAACATTTTTCCTGTTCGCAATCTACACAAGAATTCAGTTAAATATTCATAAATTTATAAATTTATTCAACTATTTTATTTTTGTTTATATAATTTTACATTATAAAAACTAATTTATATCAAAAAATATGATATGTTTTCAATTTACTTTTAAATTTTAAATTTAAAATAGTTTCATAATAAATAAGCGTAAAATCAAATATATTTTATAATATGTAATTTTTAGTTTCATAAAATTAAATTCATTCAAAATTTATTGAAGGGGATCTAGCTCAAATGGTAGAGCGCTCGTTTAGCATACGAGAGGCACTGGGATCAATGCCCAGGTTCTCCATTCTTTTTTCTCTCTATTAAGATATAAAATTTATTTATTTATGAAAATTAATGTTTTTGATTTATTTATCTATGTTTAAGAAGAAAATTAGAAATATAACTTTTATAAGACCTAATTAAAAGCAAATAAAAGAAAATAAATTTAAATAAAATAAAATCTATAAAGTTCAAACATTAAAAAAGAGAACTATTTTTGAAAAATAAAGTAAAATTAAAAACATTTTTATAAATTCTGAAAGCATAAAAAGTTACTAATGAACTATTTAATAATTGACTCAACTTTTTAATTACTATTTTTTCACTAGAACCTATGCAAATGTGTAAATAAAGCAAATATTAATAAATAATAATCATACCAATTAGATATTATTTGTTACTTTTATTAATATTGATACAACTTTGATGTCATAATTAATTACGCCTTCTTCATCAAACCTACTGTAAAGATCATTTATTTATATTTTAATTCATAAAATGTTTATCCTTATTTTTAACCATTAAAATTTTATAAAGTGTAATTTATTATTGAAATTCATATTTTAAAATGAATGAATAATTTTATTTGAGTATAAATATATAAATATATTTTTATTCATTGATACCAATTAATATTCCAAACATCTTTTCATATTTCTACTCAGCAGAGTAGATGAAAATTTTAAAAATAGAAAAACACGATAAATTTATATGATAACGTAGACAAAATTACAAGAAAAATGATATTAAATTTGTTCAACTCAAAACAAAAAAACATTTAACAAAATTAGATTCTATTTGTTACTTTTATTAATTTTGATACATTTTTGAAGTCGCAATTAATTGCGCTTCTACAAGCCTGCTATAGAGGCCATTTATTTATATTTTAATTCAAATATGCTTAGCCTTATTTTTAACCATTAAAATTTTATTAAGTGTAATTTCCTATTGTAATTCATATTTTAAAATGAATGCTAAACTTTATTAGAATATACATATAAATGTTCATCTTTATCAACTAAATCTCCAATCATCTTTTCATGTTTCTTGTTAGAGTATATGGAAATTTTAAGAAATAAAAAAAACTTTTTAGAATTATTTGGATAATTGGTATAAAATTTCCAAGAAAAATGGTATTCAAGCTTTACAACTCAAACTCACAAAAGAGTTTAACAAAATTAATAGAAAATATCAAATTTTCATACATTTTGATATAGATTTACTAGAAACTTACTTCAAATCTTAAAAAATGCCTTTTTCAGCTGTTGTTATTATTATAATTATGCTATCTATTTTTTATGCTTTTTTTTAAGAAAAACTTTACACAGGATGAGTAAATTGATTGTAAAATGCTAATTTATAAAGAAATTTATAAAAGAAATTTTTATTTAACCAAGTAAAAAAAATGGATTTTTCTGATGAAATGTGATATGATTATTTTAAAATAATACCATTAAAGTTATATTTTCAATTATATTTAATTAAATCGGGCTTAGTTATATTTAAATACTGACCAACAGTTCTAATCGATAATTTAAAAAAATATAATCAAAAAGTAATTAATTGAAAACAAAATGAATTAAAATAAAATTTTAGCTTTACTTTGCATCTCTTTCTGTATCTTCCAGATTTCTCAAGCTACCTAAAAGGATGCTTATGTTTTGAGTTACCTCTGGCCTGTTTATGAAAATTATTCCGGTGACAAAGAATTCACTAAGTAGGACTTTCCTTTCTTCGATGGATCAAACTTTGCTATCAACTATTTCTATCCTTTGCCTGATTAATCATATGTATGCTCTCCTCCTATCTGCAATAACCATCATACCTTTAATGCCACCAACATTAAAGAAAAAGATTACATCTATCTTGAAAAATATTTCCTTCGTTTTGGTTAGAATAACTCTTAAACAAGTTAAGATCTCTGGAAAAATTATGGAAGCTGCTATAACCACTCCTAAACCTAATATTTCCACGCTATGTCATAGGCTCATCAAAAACTCAATGTTGTTGAAGCTCTTAAAGCTGAAAATATTGTTCCTAGTGAAGAAATAATTTATGAGAGATCACAAATTTAAAAAGCTCTCTCTAAAAAATTAAATGGATTGATGCCTGATCTTTTTTGCTCAAAATTCACTATTGATTAAGAAAAAGGTGAATCTTACTCCTACTTAAGACGTTTTGAGATATACTTTGATAAAGATCTTAATCCTACTCAAAGTACTTATTTGTGCACATATGAATACTGTCCTGATAAAATAAAGATTCCTCCTTTCAAATTTTGAAGGTTTTGATTAAAAATATTTGAAATATTGATTTTAAATTAGATTTATTGTACATTAAATATTATATATTTGTTAAATATTATCATTAACATAAAAAGAAAATTATTTGATATAAATATATCCTTTTTTATCAAAACAACATAATTATTTGCTAATTAAATTTGCTTTCTTATTTGTACTTAAAAAAAAAGTAACCAAATGAATATTAATCAAATAAATTTCTTTAATATAAAGTTTAAATTAAATATTCACTGTAACAAGTATTACTTACTACCTTTAAGCAATTAGAAATCCCCTAATTGCTATTCATTTATAAAAATTTACATAATAGAAAAAATTAATAAGTTAGAAAGATGTTAATAATTATTTTATACAATAAATAATAAAAATTTTATGCATAGAGCATGATAAGATTAAAAAAAACTATTTTTTATTCAGCTATGGTAACAATTCAATCTTACAATCTACTAAAACAATAAATAGTTCAAATATGCAAGTAGATATACCATAAAATATTATTTCCTAGCAAGAAACAGCTAGACAAGTAGATAAACTAAATTAGACTGTATCATGTTAGAACCTCAATATTATTAACTCCAAAAGATGGTATCTTAGTATATTCTATAACTTGGTTTTGATTGCTTTATATAATAGATATTATTTGTTTTAGTTAGTAACGAAATCATATTTATCTTTATTATGTATGTCATTTTCTAAAAAAAATAAGAGCCATAAATAAAGATCATAAAACATAAATAAAATAAACTTAAGAGTGTTATTTAAGAAAATCTTACTTAATAGATGTCAAGTATGCTGTAATACATTCAAATTATTTAAAGGAGCAACTTATATTTGCTTATCTCACTACTTATAAAATTTATTACTTTTTCTTTCAGACTTTATTATTAAATTTGTTATTTTCATTTATTAATATATTAGAACTAAAAAACTTTTAAATAAGTATTTTATTTTAATCTAGATTTATTATATTAAAATAGGGATAATAAATTTAATAGACTCTATAATATAAATGATTAAAGTAACAAAGATGAAGATTGTTGGTTAAAATAAATACTTTACATTATGGTGAGATTTTATAAAACTAAAAATTTACTAAATTAAAAGTTATTTATGATGATTAAAGTAGTTTGTATTTAATATATTACTGAATAGGTCTTAAATTTTTAACGATGATAAAAAATATAATAATAAATAATATCTACTTTAATAATATCATTAAGAAATTTAAACTCAAACTCTAATTTACTATTAGCATCATTATTAAAATTACTTTATGAAACATAAATCTTTATTTTTATGTGTTGTTATATTTTCAGACTTTATTATTAAATTTGTTATTTTCTTTTATATTTATTTGGTTAGAAAGTTTTTAAATAATTTATTTATAATGTGATTAACAGCATAAAATATTGCTTATATTAAATTGAAAACTAAATTACTAAAAATAAATCTTTTATTTTTTTTATCAGATAAAATTTATTTGTGAAAAATATTTTAGAGGATAAAAATGGTAAAAAAATTTTTCGAAAAGATCCAAAACAGATAATGCTAAAAAAAGCAATTTATGTGCTTTTTACTTTTGTTTTTATAATTTTATATTGTTAAAAACTATCTTTTTTAAAAATATATTATAGGTTTTCAACAAATTATTTATTTGTTATTTAATAAAAAATAAATACAAAATTATAAAAAATTTGATCTTAAATTGTTTTTTTGCCTATTGTAGACTTAAATTTAAAAGAGTAAACATAATGAATATAAATTAATTTAATTTTATAATTTAAAATAGATTAATAATAAATAAATAAGCTTATATCAAATTTATTTACAGTTAATAAATATATTTTTATTTTCATAAAATTTAATTCATTCAAAATTTATAGAAGGGGATCTAGCTCAAATGGTAGAGCGCTCGTTTAGCATACGAGAGGCACTGGGATCAATGCCCAGGTTCTCCATTTTTATTTCTCTCTATTAAAAAACAAAACGCATGAATGAAAGTTAATATTTTTTATTTATTTAATTTAAGAAGAGAGATAAAAGTATAATTTTTATTAGACCTAATGAAAAGCAAATAAAAGAAAATAAATTTAAATAAAATAAAATCTATAAAGTTAAAACATTTAAATAGAGAACTATTTTTTGAAAAATTTAAAGTAAAAGAGTTTTTATAAATTCTGAAAGTCTAAAAAGTTATATTTGAACTAATTAATAGTTGACTTAGCTTTTTAATTACTATTTTTTCACTAGAATCTATGCAAATGTGCAAATAAAGCAAAATTTTATCAATAATAATCATACCAATTAGATACTTTTTGTAATTTTATTAATTTATTGATACACTTTTGATGTCTTAATTAATTAATTAATTTTGCTTCATCAAACCTGCTCTAAAGATAATTTATTTATATTTTAGTTCATAAAAATGTTCAACTTTATTTTAACCATTAAAATTTTATTAAGTGTAATTTCTTATTGAAATTCATATTTTAAAATGAATGTAAAACTTTATTTAAGTTTAAATTTTTTTGTTTTCTTAAATATTCTTCAATTTCAACTAATATTAAAATCATCTTTTCATTCGACTAGATGGAAATTTTAAGAAATAGAAAAGCATGATAAAATATATTGATAATTTAGATAAAAATTCCAAGAAAAACGATATTAAAATTGTTCAACTCAAACTCAATAAAACATTTAACAAAATTAGATACTATTTGTTACTTTAATTAGTATTGATACATTTTTGGTGTCATAATTAATTATGCTTCTTCATTTCTGCTCTAAAGGCCATTTATTTATATTTTAATACACAAAAGTGTTCAACCTTATTTTTAACCATTAATATTTTATTAAGTGTAATTTCTAATTTAAATTCATATAAGCCTTAATATTATATTTCTCTTAAATATTAATCAATGTCAACTAATGCTTGAAAATTTTTTCATGCGTCTTGTCAAAGTATATGGAAACTTTAAGAAATAGAAAAGCATTATTTAAATAATAAGATAATATAAATTAAATTTCCAAGAAAAATTATATTAAATTATTTAACTGAAACTCAAAAAGGCATTTAATAAAATTAGATACTATTTGTTACTTTTATTAATTTTGATATATTTTTGATGTTGTATTAAATTACGTTTCTACAAATCTGCTCTAGATGCCATTTATTTATATTTTAATTCAAAAATATGTTCAACCTAATTTTTAACCATCAAAATTTTATCAAGTGTAATTTCTTATTGAAATTCATATTATTTTAAAATGAATGCAAAACTTTATTAGAGCATAAATATTTTTTTTTTTAATATTCATCTTTATGAACTAATGCTCCAATCACCTTTTTATGTTTCTTGTCAGCGTAGATGGAAATTTTAAGAAATAGAAAAACTTGATAAAGCTATATGTATGATGTAAATTAAATTTCCAAGAAAAATGGTATTAAAATTGTTCAACTCAAACACACAAAGTTATTTAACAAAATTAATTGAAAGTATCAAATTTTCTTAGAATTAATATAAATTTACTAGAAACTTACTTCAAATATTCAAAATTGATCTTTTCAATTTTGTTATTATTATGCGATCCAATTTTTTATACTTTTTTTATAAAAACTTTACACAAGTTGAGTAAATTGATAGTAAAATGCTAATTTATAAAGAAATTTATAAAAGAAATTTTTATTTAACCAAGTAAAAAAAATGGATTTTTCTGATGAAATGTGATATGATTATTTTAAAATAATACCATTAAAGTTATATTTTCAATTATGTTTAATTAAATCGGGCTTTATTTAATTTAAATACTAACCACCAGTTCTAATCAATAATTAAAAAAATATAAACAAAAAGTAAATAATTGAAAACAAAATGAATTAAAATAAAATTTTAGCTTTACTCTGCATCTCTTTCTGCATCTTCCAAATTTCACAAGCTACCTAAAAGGATGCTTATGTTTTGAGCTTCCTCTGGCCTGTTTATGAAGATATGTTTGGTAACAAAGTTTTTACTAAGTAGGACTTTCCTTTCTTTGATGGATCAAACTTTGCTATCAACTATTTCTATCCTTAGACTCCATAACCAGGGATATGTAATCCCCGTATCTGCGCAAATAACCATACCTTTAATGCCACAAACATTTAAGAACAAGATTATATCTATCTTGAAAAATTCTTTGTTCGTTTTGGTTAGAATAACTCTTAGACAAGTTAAGATCTCTGGAAACATTATGGAAGCTGTTATAACCACTCCTAAGCCTAATATTTCCACACTTTGTCATAGGCTCATCAAAAATTCAATCTTGTTGAAGCTCTCAAAGCTGAAAATATCGTTCCTAGTGAAGAAATAATTTATGACAGAGAACAAATTGAAAAAGCTCTCTCCAAAAAGTTAAATGGATTGATACCTGAACTTTATTGCTCAAAATTCACTTTTGATTAAGAAAAAGGTGAATCTTACTCCTACTTAAGACATTTTGAGATTTACTTAGATAAAGATCTTAATCCTACTAAAACTTCTTATTTGTGCACATATGATTACTGCCCCAATAAAATAAAGATTCCTCCTTTCAAATTTTGAGGGATTTGATCAAAAATATTTATTTTAAATTCCATTTCTTGTACATTAAATATTTTATGTTTACTAGTTTTTATCATTCATTATTATTTACATAAAAAGAAAATTATTTCATGTAAATATATCCTTTTTTTATTAAAACAAAATAATTAGTTTGTTATTAACTAAATTTTTTATCTTATTATTATCAAAAAAAAGAAAAAATATTTATTTTATTTATTATTTCAAATAAAACGGCACTTTTAAGAAATGTATTTAAACAAAGAATATCATACATTTACTGAAACTAATTTATTAAATTATTTCATACATTTTCAATTATTTTATAATAATAGAAAGATAATTTCTATTTAAGCAATCAATTAAAATAAATTTATATAAAATGCATTTTAAAGACTGTTTCCTTATTTAAATTATATTTTTTCCTTAATAAATTTAGAAAAGTTTGAATTAAAATTTTTTAAACGTTATTTAGTCTCTCTTTCTTTCTTTTATTTTTTAAGTAAACTAATTTTCAATTTTAACTTTTTACAATTCTTCCTTAGGCTCTAATACTACATTTAATTTAATTAAAGTTACCCTTTTAAGATATTTATTTAAAAATTGAATTTTTGTATTACTTATAAATTATTAGAAGCTATAAAGATATTTGTCTACTTAGTTTATTAAATAGTCTATGAGGAAATAAAAAAATAAATGATCTCATAGGCATTTTAAATTTTGTAAATGATTATTTCAATTAATTAAAAATAGTGATGAATAAGGTTTGAATTTTGGTATCCCTTTTTAATTTTTAGACAGACACTCGAAAGATATTTGTCTATTTAGTTTATTAAATAGTCTACGAGCAAATAAAAAAAATAAATGATCTCACAGGAATTTTAAATTTTATAAATGACTATTTAAGTTAATTAAAAATAGTGAAGGATACCATAATTCCTTGCTCACAAGGAGGGTGTGCCAATATTTAGGAATATTTAAAAAATTTTTAAATTAAAAAATGGCCATTCACTCAAAAAATTTTATGGAAAAATGAAGCGATTTAATGAAGATTGATAGTTTATTTATTATTAATTAATTGAAATATATTTTGATCTTATTTTTAAATGATCATTTGTAAAATATTGAAATATTTGTGAGATCAAATATTTTTAATAAATAAATTTATCAATTAAAACGTCTTTAACTTTTTTATATTTATCATTTTAATTTTTGATTTAAATCTGATAAAGGTCAATCAATTATACGTGATATAATTAATTAAAAAAAAAAACAACAAATAATATTTTCTTTAAAAATGGAATAAAACTAACTAGTCATTGAAGATCTTAAAATTTAAAATTTAAACTTTGATGCTACAAAGGTGATTGCTAATCTTAGGTATTTTTTTTTGTTGAAAATTTGTTAATAAAATAGAATTATTATATTCTATTTTATAAATTTCTGTAAAAAAGAGAAAAGATCAAAAAATCATTTAATTTATGAGGAAAAAAAGCACTCTATTTACCTAATATTAGTTAAATACATAAAAATAGCAAAATAAATAAGTTCAAAAACAATATTTAATTTCTAAAAATAAATAAATTTTAGCAGAAGAAGAAGAAAAAAAATGAGTATACATACTACAATTTTAATCAACTAAATATTCTTGCTTATTTATTTAACTAATTAATATTTTTCTATCTATTAATAGTTGCTTATCAATTAAGCCCTAATAGGCTACAAAATACTTTTCTGAATTCGCGAACTTCAAAAACTTATAAGAATTGAGAATATTTATAGGGTAAATATTTAAAATTAGCATAAATAACTAAATTTAAAATTAACAAAGTAATAGCTATTAAGACCA